GAGGGCACTTTGGTGTCCGCATGTCTTGGCCACTGTGAATAATGCTGCAGTGAACAAAAAGATATAATGCCTATATCTTTATGAGTAAATGTTTTCAAAATTTTCAGATGCCCAGGAAAAGGGGTGTCGAATTGTGTGGTAACTCTGTTTATAGTGACACAAGCCTCTGTGTGGCCAGTGAAATGGTCACACAGTCCCGTCTTCAAAAGAAAGGTCTGCATCCTCGCAGGAAAGGATAAAGTGCAAAATTGATGACTAACGTTGATATTCACAATTCTTCCTTCAAGAAAGACACAGTTTTGTGCCTCCTAAGGGCAATTATAATATTGGTGTTGATTGCATACCAGGCATCTTGTCAAATTCTGACGCGGATTATCTCATTTAATCCCAGTAATGACCATATCATACAGGAAAAGCTATTAACCCCATTTTTCAGATGACAAAACCAGGGGTCAGTGGTGTTACAATCTGCCTTATATCACAGGACCTACAGGCGTCACTACCAAGAGAGGAACACAGGTCCCAGCCATCAAAGACCCAGTCACTTACCCCCAAAACATGTGATGTGTCACTGGTGGGGAGCAAGATGCCTTGAGGCATCACACAAATGGATTCTGAGTATTTCAAATGTATAAATCAAGCAATCAATTTAGCAAGCGACGCCGTAACCAGTTTGAAAGATATGATTATTTAGTAAAAGGCGAAAGAGCTATGCAATGAAGAGAAACCAGAGTATGAGATATGATTATTTTGGACAAGGACAAACAAAAACAAAACAAATAGATTACAGAAAAAGTGTTGAGTAAATAATCATCCACGTAGTACCTGTCAACAATGTTAATAGCTTGTTTGAGTGACTGGGAAATACTTTCTAATTGGTAGAAGAGACAATGTGAGGGGCCCCTTGATTACATATATATTTTTAATGAGTGAAGTTACTGTTCCTAGAGCTATAGTCCCCAAATAGAACACCGTGCTCCAACGCTGGTTAGTAACCGCTGCTGAAAGTGCCGGGTGGCCTAAGGGGCACAGGTGACCTTGCTGATCTGTCACCAAGCTGCTGTGTGACGAACAGGCAATTCACTCCCCCTCTCTGTGCTTTCTGCTGTTTTCTTTTTATAAAATAAAGTGTGTGCAAATGTTTGGATCTAAAGCAGTTTTCAGGGCTAAATTTCTGGGAGGGCACATCTTTAGGGGACACTTTTCTTTGGCTATTTCTTGGGGCCGCCCAGCAGGGAACTCTGGAGGCAGTGGACCTGTTTTGATTTCTGTCTTCACCACCTTTCGCTGTGCGATGCGAAGCAAGTTTCTTAGATTCCCTGCGCCTCGGTGTCCCGTGAGTCAATGCACAGAAATTGCTGACGTGCTGACGACGCCTGGCTCACCGCAAACGGTGGCAAATATTCACTATCGCTTTTATTTCTGTGTGCTAGGTGCCGTTTAGGTGAGAAGCCGGAGACTGGTTTCCAGCTACACACATCACATTTATTCTCTAAAGAAAAGAAGGCGAGGAGGGCGGTGGGTAGGTAGTGTCTAGCGCGGATTGTGTCTGCCAAGATTAATTTGCCAAGGAGCCGTTTTCGCGCAGCGCTGCGGACACCCCATGCACTTCCTGAAATAGCCAGCAGGTGGCGGCGTTGCATTTTATTTGAGATGGTCAGGGCCTGGCGCATCTCCAGCCCAGGGGTTTTGTGAAACAATAGTTTTTCCTTCGCCTCCTTCCTCTCCTTTTTCCCCTTCTCCTTCTTCTCCCTCTTCTCCTTCTTCTCCCTTCCCCCTTCTCCTTCTTCTTTTAAGCCGAGGCCAGGAATCATTAGCCTTAGAAATAAATAACGGCGATCTTTGTCACCCGGTGCTATAGAAACACCAGCACCTGTCGTGCTAGCCAGAGCTAATGCTGAGAGCATCTTTAGCCTCATAGGCAGGACTTCTTAGAAATGCAACACCATCAGCCCCACCGCGGCAGGCCGAACGGGAAACTCGGGGTGGGGGGATGTCGAGGGGGGGCGCCCAGCGCTGGGCGTTTCCACGGCCCCCTCCCCCGTGAGTGATTCCCGCGCCCTGGGGCGCGAGAACCTCCGTGCCGGGCACCGCAGCCGCCAGGTCTCCCTTTTAGCGCCAAATGCGAGTCGGTAGAGAGGGGGCGCTTGGTGAGCCCCGCGCCCCGCGGCTTGGAGCCCCGCGTGGGAGGCGGGTTCAAGACGCAGTCTCACGCCCAGACGTGCGGGGCCAACAGCGGCATTGCCGTCTGCACCACTTCTTTCTCTTTCCTCTTCTTTTTCCTTTCTCTTCCTCCCCTCCTCCCCTGCCCGGTGCTATGACCCCTTTTTATTTGACTTTTGCAGCACCAATTCTGACTCCGAACCCTGTACGTCGGCGGCTAAGGAGGCAAAGAATAAAACCCACAAGGATGGGCAGAAAGGACACCCCCCCCCTGCCCTGGGAGAACTTGCTTGAGAACAGCGGTCCTCAGCGACACTAACACTAATCTATTGCCGCAGCAAGTGGGCTGGGCGGGCGGTCCCAGGCCCCTCCGAAGCCGCGAAGGGAATCTCCTGCGGGGCGTGGCGGGGGGGCAGGGGTGTTAAACGGAACTTCCCGTTCAGAACCCCTGGAGTGGGCCTGAGAATTTCTATTTCCAGCGAGTCCCAGAAGCCGGCGGCTGCTGGTCCAGGGCCACCCCTGGAGAACCACGGATACCTACTTCCGATTCTCCCTGCCCTCGGGACCGAGTTGGGAGACAACTGCCCACAGGTGAAAGAAATCTGGGGCCGTGGAGAGAGAAGAACAGGCACAGAGAGAGAGGAGGTCGGAGAGGAAAGGGAAGGCAGGCTTCCACTTGGATTTCTAGATGTTTCTCAGTCGCCGCACTCGCTGCCACGCCTCCGGACCTCGATGCTTCTGCCGTAGAGGATCCTTTCCTCCTCTGGGCTGGCAGCTCCGGGCACAGGCTGCCCTGTGTCTGCTCAGAAGGAGAAACTTCCCCGGCCCCTCGGGGGTGAAATATCGTTGGTGCACCTCATGTGTCTGGCCATGGCTGGTTGTAGCAAATCAGAGCCCCATGAAGTAACCGATGGCAGAGTCAAAATACAGAGGTTTAGAAGAAGTTGACTTAAAATAGGCTATTTCTAGAGGTGTGACTATATGAGACCGAAGTGACAGTGAAGTGGCCACAGGCTAATACGAGGAAGCGGTCACTTTCCCCAGGCCAAAGGGAACAGGAGAGCCATAGTAGAATTTAGGAGAGTCGAGAAGCGGACAGCGCTGGTGAAAGTCCGCAGCCAGCCTGAGGCCGGGTCCAGCGGGGAGGTCAGGGGCACTGCCTCCCCCTCCCCCACCGCTGTCTCCTCTCCCTCTGCTATTCTGCTGGGAGCCCCCACTGGCTGGAACCAGCCAGGGCCAAGGGCAACCCTGAAACCCCCACAGGTCGGCTGTCCTCACAGGTGTCCTCACTGCTCTCCATAGGGTGCTGAAGAGCACAATGTGGGTTTCAGGGGCCCACGGAGGACATTCGGCCTCATTGGTCTACAGGCACGCAGATGACTCGGGCCGGCCAATGAGATACGTGGGAAAGACTTCTGGGTGCTTTGGGGAAAGATTTTCTTTCCGACTATTAGAGAAGAAAGGCGCTTCCCCTTCATTCCTGCTTGGGATGCTGTTGATGTGCTTCTTGGACGTCTGCAGCCACTTTGTGCCTATGAGGGGAAGGCAAAGAGAACGGCAATGACTGTGTAGGTGAGGTCTGCAAGGTGGAGGAGGGGTGATGTAGATGAAGTAAGGTCTTGCTTGAGTGATTAACCTCTCCATCCTTTCTGCCTGCCGGTCCCAGCCTGCTTTACACTCGCACTAACGGTGGGGCTGAAGCAAACTTTGCATGTCTTCCACCCTTGACTGTGAATCTCCTCACTGTTGTGCAGAGTATCCACATAAAACATCTTGCGTTATAGTGGCATTATTTTTTGATGACAGACTGTTTCTTGTGTTCTTGGCAGATTGTGATTTCTGGACCGAGTCACATGGGTCATTGTTTAATAGGGTTACGTGGTATTGTTCCAATCACCACCACCATCATCCTCCTCATGATAGACTGTAGGAGCCCAGTTCATAATCGATTTCTGATGCTATAGACCGTGCCTTGTGGGGAAAGAGCTTGGGCTTTGTGTCATGGGGACCTGGGGCCACATCCTGGGAGCCCTGCTGCCTCCCTGTCTCCTCAGGTACTTTACTTGGCTTCTCTGAGCAAATTGGGCTGTCGCTATGTGAGGATTAACTGTGTGTCATACATTCTAACAAAAACCATTGATGTCGTGCAAAAGGTATTCCCCTTTTTCTCTACCTCTACTTCCCTTCTCACTAAAGATACAACGACGCCCCGGGCCCAACCCTCAGAAAACTCAGAGCTCATAAAACTAAAAACCGCAAAGGCGAGGGGAGTCTCACCAGCTCAGCTGCAGGAGCAATGGCAGCGGTCATATTTGGGCCAAGCTCCAAGCTGAGGGGATCGAAAATGAAGGGGGCCTGCCGGACCTTGTGGTATTTGTCACTGGGATAACATAAAAAGGTGAGAGCGAGCAGACTTGCTGAAGGTTCCCGGCAGGCCTACGACTCCCAAGGATACGGAGGGGCACTCGGCACCCGCTGAGCTTGCCTCTGACCCCTGGCCGGTCGGTTGGCAACGGTCTGTTTTCCTCCTGCAGGGGGGTGCGGGCGTGGGTTGTACGTCAGCTCTGATTTCCGGTAAGGGATGCCTCCCAGCGGGACTGTGGTGCATTCCCAGGCGGGGTCACTGGGTAATCCAGGTCCAGGTTTTTTCCAGGTCCCTGGGGTCAGTGAGAGCACAGAGGGCATGCCCCCGCCTGTAACTGGTCCAGAATGATAGTAACGAGAAAGCCTCTCCTATCAGGGTCCACGTGCTGGGGGTGGAAACGCCAGCTGGTAGGGGAATGGCTGACAAAACCAGGTGGACGATACAATGAGGCAAGGATCACCACCAGGTGCCCAAAAGGAGAAACAGTTATCCCTCACCGTAGGTCAATTACGGGCCAAGCACTCTGCCAGGTGCTGCTTTGCAGGTGAGGAATCTGAGTCTCAAAGAAATTGCACGACTTGACGACTTGACGTACTCCCCCGGAGTCTTTTTCTCTCTCCTGTAATTCTAGAAGCTCTTCCCCGCCCCCCTGGCTTTGGCAGAATAACTAATAAGCAATTGTAAAGCTCTTTGCCTCGTCTAGAGGCGTCACTAATTAAACAGGCGAAGTGGGTTTATGGCTGTGCATAGAATGGCCAGAGCTCTCCCCAAGCCAGTTGCCAGCTCACTCTGCTGGTTTGCTCATTAAACCTCAGTGAGCTCCTCTGCAAAATGGGGACAATGGCCTGCAGGCTGTAAGAATTGAGTTAATGATCGAAGTCACTGAGTTCAGTGTTTCGCCGGCGCTCACCAGATGGGGACTATCATATCAGGATGCGAGTGCTCTGTCAGAAATGCGAGTTGTTTTTTTGTTTGTTCTGTTTTCCGGGGCACTGGGAATGGACAGCAGCAGGAGCTTGTGTAATACCGGTGGGAGCACAAAATCCGGCAGCCACTTGGGAGAGCAATTTGGCAAGGTGTGCAACAGGCGAGGGTATGCGTCTCGGGGACCCGGAGATCCCGTGGGGCCCGGAGGTGCCCCGCACACGCACGAGGAGACGTGGACGCAATGTGGGGAGCAGGGGTTGTGAGATGGTGCACAATCGGTCTAAAGTCATTAGAGGGAATATTATACTGAAGTTAAAGTAAGTGAGTCCGGGCTCTGAGGATCAGCAAGGTAAGGTCTCACAAGCGTAATGTTAAATGATGAGCAAATTGCACAAAGACAATAGGCCAAGTGAAAGCTACAAACGACAGTGAATATTGATTAGGAATATGTTCCTAGATAGCAATTGTATAAAACCTGTTTGGAAATAGCGAATGGCAACATCAGGAGTTCAGGAGAGCTGTTCTTTCTGGCAAAGGAAGAATGAGACTAGATTTTTTTAAAAAAAGAGATCAAAGCAATTCAACTCTATCTGTATTATTTTATATCTTATAAATGTACTAGGGCATCAATGACCAATATTAAGATTCAGCAAAGCAGGACAGTGGATACTTTTCTGTATACTTGAAGCATTTCACAATTTAAAAAAATCGTATTTTATTACATGTTTTGTTCGTTTTCATTTGTCTTTTCTTGTTTGTCCACTTCATAGTTCCAATGCCTGTAGCATCTTATGCTGAGACATGCACTTTTTGGGACGGTGTCTTCTCCCTGCTACGACCCTTCTGTGCGAGGTCCAGGGTTTACAGATCTCAGTGCCAAGTGTCACAACATGTTTTCTGCTGGGGTTCGGCCGAGAGGTCAGAAAGTGCAAGCCGGAGTCGGGGTTAATGATTTAACACGGCTTTCCCTTGGCCTGTGTGAGCTCTGTGAGCTGTCGTGACGATGGGCTCCTTCACACGTGCGGCCACCGAGGGAGAGGGGCCGCAGAGGTGACATGGGTGGCAAGGACAAAAGCCTCCATCAGCAGCGTCCCTGCCTTACCCCAGTCACCTGGCAGGGCACCAACAGCAGAGATAAGGCTTCGCGAGGGAGTCGGTGCCTGCGGAGCTATGGCTGACCCACAGGGCAAAGGTTCAGAGAGGCCGAGGAGGTGCGTGGCTTTCCTGTTAAAGTGTGACTTCACCAGGGGAAGGTGAGGTGGATGAGGGGGGCGGATGAGGCATTGAGTTCACGGATAAGCTCGGTGCCAACGGGGGCAAATCCGGCGGGCAGCTCTGTGTGTGCGTGTATGGGAGTGAGGCGGGACGTGAAAGCATGCACATCAAATCTAAAGAAACTAGCTCTGTATATAGCACTGTGCGAGTTCCCAACTCCGCCACTGGGAAAAGTGAAATGTCCAACCACAGACTGATACACGCTGGGAAATGACTCACCAAGGCCCGGAGGGCTTTGGTCTCCCATAACGAACGGACGTTCCACGGAAGCCAGGTGCAAACACAAAATATTTCTTCTCTGGGGATGCGTTTCAGGTGGGTTGGGTTTTAAAAAGTTTAAAAAATTTTTATTATCATTTAGTGCACAGTAGACTATTGTTGTCTCCAGCTCTTTTGAACTTAATCGTCTTGCATATCTGAAACTTTATACCTGTTTATTACCAACGGGCTGTGCCCTGTGGGCCCCCCTCCCCCCCCCCCTCCCCCGCCTCGCACCTGGTCACCACCATCCTGTGCTTTGCTTCTGAGTTTGACTATTTTGGGACCCTCACAGAGGTGGACCGTGCAGTCTTTGTCCTGCTGCGGCTGGCTGATTGCTCTTAGCATCATGTCCTCAACGTTCGCCCATGTGGCTGGCTGTGCACGGCTTCCTCCTTTTTAATGCGGGGTAATATTCCACGGTGCATTTACTGTCTCCACGGCACTTCCTGTATCCAGGCACGCATTGGGGTGTTTTGAAAAATATTTTTCAAATTTCTATCCTGAAAATCTCAAACTACAAAACCATGGAAAGCCTATGTCGTTGAAGACCTGTTTACCTTTCACCCAGATTCTTCGAATTATTAACATTTTGCCACATTTTCTTTCTCTCTCCTTCTTTGTAATATAGACTATGTATTATGTAATCTTTATGGTACACAATAATGCAGTCTATACATAGATTATTTTCCTGCGAAACCCCCTGGGGAGCAAACTGCAGACATCACGCCCTTTCACTCCAAAGGCCTCCGCAAATGTCATCGAGGAGCAACGGCCTTCTCTTTTAGAAGCACGTGCAACTATCAAACCCTGAAAATTTAGCATTGTCCTATTTTTAGCACAGCTCGTATTGGGATCTCCCCAAGTGGCCCCACCCCACCCCCACTGCCATGTAAAGCAATTCATTTTCTGACCCAGAGTCACGCGCTGTTGGGTCTCTTTACGTCGCTTTACCCCGGGATCATGCCCTGGCCCTTGGCCTCTTCCGACATTGACCGCTGTGAAGGGCATGGGCCGCTGCCCTTCAGATTGACTCCGTTTGGGTGTGTTCTGCGATTGCTTGCTCCCCTTTAAATTCAGGTCGCACGTTCTTCCAGGAAGACGGAGCGGTGTGCTGTTCCTTTCAGGGAGTCCCGTCAGGAGCACACAACGTCAGCTGGTCCCTTTCTTGGCGATGTGGATTTTGATCGCTTGCTTAGGTGCGGCTTCCAAGTTTTTGAGATGCAGTTCCCTGGAGAAGGTTTTCAACTTCCTTGAGCTTAAAGGTTGCTGTAGAGTCCGTGTCTCCTTGGCAGGGCACCTCTTCCCGGTTACAGGAGAGAGCCCAGTGTGGGCCAGCTCCGCCTTAGCACTTGGCCACCCCCTGCCCCCAGCTTGCTTGCTGTGGGGGAGGCAGGCAGCCAGCAAGTGTTATGAATAAACCGTATGCCGATTCAGATTGTGATAAGTGCTGTGAAGGATGCAAACCAAGAAAATGGGACAGAGAGTTCGGCAGGGACAAAGTGGCTGTAGATAAAGCAGAGTCCCTCCCCTCCTGGGGCGTCCTTTGCCGTGGGGGAGACCCAGGGCAAGCACGTAAACAAACCTACAGTGAGTCAGGGAGCGATGAACGTCATGAAGAGACCGGAAGCCGATGGGCAGACGTTGTCCTCAAGGGCTCGCGGCCAGGGGCAGAGAGGACCTGGCTCGGGACTGGCCATCTGCGTGGAGATTGAAATGGCGTGAGGAGGAGTACTCTGAGGCTGGGGCGGGGGGTGTGATCCAGGCAGGCAGAGGGGACAGGGAGCACACAGGCCTGGTGGCAGGGATCTGCTCGGTGCCGCTGAGGAGCAGCACAGAGGCTGAGGAGGGGAGAGGCTGGAGTGCAAGGTGCCGGTGGGGGTGGGGGTGGGGGGCTGAGAAGGGAGAAGGGGCCGGGGCCAGATCATGGGGGCGTTTCCAGGCCATGGGCAGGACTTTGGGTTTTATCCTGAGCAGACTGTGAAACCGCCAGGAGGTTGAGAGCGTCCATGTTTGCAAAGCATCACTTTGACAATTTTGTAGAGAACTCAGGGAGGAGGGAGGGGTTGTGGCCGAGGGCGGCAGGGTGACCAGAGGTATCCAGCTGAGAGAAGTTGGCTCCAGGGGCACCAGAACCCCATTTTGCACACCTGTCTCCCCCATGCCTAATAAGGGATGCTTGGTAGTTGCTAAATGAACCAGTGAATGGGTGGGTGAAACAATCCATTGGCTTCTGTAATTATTAAATAATTTTCAAGTGGAGACGTTCATCTGATGGATGGTGGGTTCGCACTGTGCCAATTTAGCTCGGGTAGGACATTTCCTGAAATTTGCTTTCCTCTATTTTTTCAGATTGGGGTTACCTGCTGGAAATATTGGCATGTGATTTAGGAGAGGGAAGGGAAGGGAAGGGCAGTGGCTTTTAAGTGCTCTGAGGTCAGTGCGGAGCTGGCCCTTCTGCAGCTCAGCCAGTCTGCTGGCTCAGCTCCTTGGCCTGGGGCAGCGGCTCCTGAGGCCCCCTGCTGATCCCTTCCCGCTGGTCTTTGTAACCTGGTTCAGGTAGGTGTGCAGATCCCTGGTGCGGAGGGTCACTGGCTCCCATGGGCCACACGCAGCGTTGAGAGCAGAGATAACAGGGAAGCAAAGTTGTAGCACCTCGTGGAGGTTTCAGGTTTTGTTCATGTCCCTGCTTCACGCCCATCTTCCTAGCAGCCTGTTTTGCTGAGTTCAGGCCCAGCTCCAGAACCGGGAGCAACAGAACGTGAGATTCTTCCCTCAGCCCCCGCGATTGCCTGGTGTCTAATCCTGTAACAAATCCCCTTTCTTTACCCTCCGTCCTGGTTCTGCTTCTCTGAACAGACCCTCTGTGTTACACACTGAGTCTGAGCATTTGTCCACCCTGAAACTTCCTGAGTGCTTCTAAGTTTTAGGGAAAAAACAAACAACAATTCAAATTTCAAAGCAAACTTTAAAATATAACTGATCGATCTCTTAGCAATTCTGGTACCGCTGATGCTCATTCAAACACACAAAAGTGCCTTCAAATGCAGGACCATGATTCTTCCTTAGTTTTCTAGGTATTGG